GTATAAGTTTTATAATCATCATCATGGACACGATTTGCATGGTCACGGACATAAATGGTGATATTATCATTATCGTATCTCATTTTGTACATAGCTTTTTTACCTAAGAATCACATATATTGTACAGTTTATCGGTCTTAATAAAACAATTTTTTTTTTCATTTACGTTATTTTGTTTATATTTTATTATTATTTAAATTCATAAGCGTGTTAGTAATTTTGAGAAATATTTTTAATATCCTAATAAAACTTGGCATTGACCTTATTTAAATGTGTTCCAATAATGCTTGGGTGGATATAGGGAAGTAAAATATTCAAGAAATATTCCTCATCGGGGAAATTGAAACCCTCGTTTATATTTAAATTTTAGTTTTTTAACGTTTTCGAATGTTATTTGACCTACTTATTTATTTTTTCAGTTTGGTAAATTAACTTTACGGATGTGCATTCTGCCGATAAATAGTTAGGTTAAACACGAGTTTAACACTTACTTCTTATAACTTTTTAGCCTATATATATTTAATTATACTACTATATCTTAGCAATTATAATGCTATTATTATGAATATTTTTATAAAACGATTTTTCTTTAAGTAACTCGAATAAAATTTACATTTAAAAATTATTAACGTGGTTAAATTCTTATTATGATTTAGTATTTTTAGGCTGTAAGCTATAGTTTTTATATTGTCTCATCGTCTACCCGTCTACAAATTTAATAAGTCTTATTAAATATGTTAATTTTTTAAAAATTAAGACGAAATCTGTAAATTAATTACGAGGGCGATCCGTTTGCAGACATTCGTTGAAGCTTTACGAGTGTAGTGCTATTTCGCGATGTACGCAATGCGCTATACCGAGGGGCATAGGTAATCAAGTGAAATTCATTTGAAGGCCCTTATAATTAGATGACTTTCTTGCCTGATAGATATTGTACGACAGGTATTGTAGGTCACGCAATATAAAACATTTCGCGATTATTATTTTTATAATATACTTTTTTTAAGATTCTGAGACGAGAACAATACCAAAATTTTAGCACAATAAATAAATAAAAGAAGAAAAGAAAAAACTTTCGCGTCGAAGGCGTAAAACAAAAAGAAAAAAATTGTGTTAGAGGGTCAGCAGTATCCATCCCAGACAAAATCTAAACGATACTTTTCTCCTTTTGAAATGATTTCCTCTTTAACGAATAATGGGTTGTTTTACTTCACTTGATCTGGCAATTCTATATTTTCGCGTAAAAGAATAAAAAAAAAGAAGAAAAACGAAATAGGTCGGTTGATTGACCATTGTTGCTAATGATTTTTACCGTTTTTATTTCAATTTTCCTCTTTTGTAAACAAGATTTTTTTTTTCTTCTTTAATTGATCAAAATATATTTCACAATTTAATATCACAATGTAATAATAATAAACTAAACATTTGCGATTTATTATCGTGTAATGAACTAAATACTAACATTTATTACCAATTTATTAAGTTACGATATTTAAAATCGATAAAGCCTGCTATTCTGGCGATCATTTAAATCAATATATTACGATATTTTCATTAGATTTATTTGTCTTGTATTTCTAAAATTTATAAACTCGTGTTAATATTTGAAATTTTATTAACATTCAAAAGACTAGCATTAATTTGTTGTAGGAGGAATGAACTTCGTGATTATCTATAGTTTCTACATTGACCTTGATTTCGATTTTCCTAAAAGTTTTTTTTTGTTTTTTAATAGAATGAANTTCCTTTAAGTTTAATTATTAAAGTATTAAAATTTCCCATTACAAGACCATAAAAATAACTCTTAAATAGTTTTTTGTACGTATAAAAGACAAATTTAAGCCACGAGAAGGTCTCGATTTTACATTAAGCACGACCAACCGCTGTCTGTATCTAACTGTTGTGCAACATTACCAAAGCCACTCGTGTTTTGAACGTCAAGTCGAACAATTCCGTCGATAAAACCTTGTTTCTCTCTTTACAAATCCCCAAACCTATCAAGTTTGTCCCTTTGGGATTATTCTATTGCGTGACAATATCCGACATTTTGTCCGTATGACGTCATTTCAGTTGTCGCTTTTCCTGCACGACAGTTAGACATTATGACAATCGTTAGTACAGATAGCCGGCTTTTATGGCATCGGTTTTATTAAGAAAAGGATCCGTAACCGAGAATAAATTTTCAGAAGCAATAAGCAAAACATGAAAAGGAGTTGCTTCTAATAAAATCTGATAAATATCCCATCAAACGAACGTTTCGTTTTTTCCCCCTAAATATGTAAAAATCTTTGTAAACTTTTATATGAGAAAGGAAAAAATCCGGTAATCAACTAAGTGCGTTTCGAGCATTCAAAAATGACGTCATCCGCGAATATGACGTCATTTTCGGGATATTTTTTTTAATCTGCTAAAAGCTAGAATTGTTTAGAAAATTCGAATAAAAATCGATAAAAACTCATTTTAATATAATTTAAAATAATTCACTTAAAGAAAGATTATAGCGTGGAATGAATAAAATTATTTCCCTATCCACGGAAAAAAGAAATAACTAAATAATTGGGTTTAAAGTTGTAATAAGAAATCTTTTTTTTTTTTTTTTATCGTTGCAAATTGTTCAACGCTTGGTGTAGCTCTGTTTAGACATTCCAGGTTGACAACGACAGCTGCTAGTAGCCTGCACAATCGGATGATGTCACACAATCTTATATGTCAGTGGCACAGTATTACTTTTCATCCTCCAGTTACTCTGCAGTAATTTAGATGGATAAATCGAATCGTTTTAAAATATTCCTGATAATATTGTCTATAGTCTATAGTATCTATCCAGGAAAGAGCGTGGTTTTTAACAAAATGCTTTACAGTTCACTTGCCTGTTTCCTTGTAAAACAAGGATGAAATGACAAAAAACAATTTTAATTGTCGATAATAAAACATTATTTTTGTATTTTCAAGTTATTTTTATTATTGTTTAAAATATTTCGCCACAGATTACTTATGAAATATTTTTCAAAATTAGAATAAATGCACAAACTTTACATTGCAGCTGAATGAAAGTATCATATCGAGATTTGATACGTAACCTACAAGCTATTTATATAACTAAAAATAACTTTTTTTAAGATTATTGTAATATGAATAAGAGAAGAACTGAGAAATACTTCCATTAAGTGCTTTTATAGATGAGATCCAAATGTCTGTAGTGTGTATTCAATCTAAAGGGCGGCCCAAAAGTCAGTTTTTGCGTGTTTCGAGCAAACTCGTAGATAAGAACCGTAAAATGAGTTTGTAAAAATGTATTTTCATTTTATAAAATTGGATGAAACGTGATTTTAAAAAATGCAATATTCGAAAAGCATCTTTTTATTTCAATAAGTGCGTTTGTAACTGTTTACAATCGTTAAATGACTTTTGGGCCATTCTGTACTTTTCTTTAAAGTTTACCTGAATCTGTGCATTTATAAATTTTAGTAATTACGAAATAAAACACGTAAAGAAAAATTTTTTTCCGGAACATAAACGAGTTAGATCAGTTTAAAAGACTGCTACCGTATTGAATTTTATATGGAAACGAAAGAAATGAGAGTCAAATATCATGATAGAGTGCTTATGTAACCAAAATTTTGTCCAAATCCATTCAGCACTCTTGAATTTATGTCAATATGAAAAATTGGAATAGCTGCAATTTTATTTTTTCTTTGTCGAAACGAACTTGTCATACAGCAAGACGTATAGCTCGATAATATATTTTAAAATTTTATGATAAGCGAATATTCAAAACCCTTAACATTTATGCAAGCATAAAAATTAAAATTAAGAAAGAATTTAGACATATAGAAGAAATTATAACATATAAGAGACCTTTCTCCTTCACTAAAGTGTAATAAATTTAAAGACACGAGGCTGTAGCTTGTTAGCTTGTACAAATCCATCCTTGATTAAATCAATAACCAAACTAAAATATTCGAAATAATATAGCTGCTATTTAATTCTTTATAAATTATGTCAACAAGTTTATACGTAACGCTAATTTTCGGTCATTTATATTAATAATAGTCTTGAAAAATTGAGCATATTAATTACCAATAAATAAGAGATTAAATTTCAGATACACAAACAGACGGACGAAGCGAAAACAATAATAATTTTCCACAAAAAAATTGACTTTCATTACGCCTAAAAATTGAAACTTTCTAACTTCAAAAATAAATAAATCGATAAAAATTTCCAAGAGAACTTTTATTGAAAAATTGTGATCAAGGAATAAAATCAATGAAGTTAAAAAAGCAACAGAACAAACAAAAACAATTTTTTCTTCACGAATCTCTACTCAACTTTGTTTAATAAAAAACATCTTTAATGTGACAACAGTAACACAATTAAATAAACCGTCACACTAAATTTGTAAAAATCTCCATTTTTAAAAAAAGAAAAGAAAAAAAGGCTAGGGAAGGAAAAAAGACAAAAATTTATGTAGTGTATTTTCTTTCTGAAATCCTTTAAATTGGAATTTCCTTTGTGAATAAAGACAAGATGATTGCGGTTGAATATCTCTTCCTAATCAAATATAACATACCTTCGATAGCAAATTCAATTTTAGGATAAGAATTCTTTAATGTGGAAAAAGAAAAAAAAAATGAAATTAGTTATGTGGACTTTAAATAAAGACATTCCACTCTTAACAATAGAAGGCGGAAATACTTAACACGTTTAGTGTTTTTATTTATTTTTTTTTAATGATTTTTAAAAGAAATTTTTAAAAAAATATATTGAATATTATAAACCTATTGAATTAAGTTTTTCATTAGTATAAATTATTCTGTTGGCATAAGCCTCTTGCTTTTTTCTCTAATAAAAATCGAGTAATCAAAATTAAAAACAAAATAAATAATAGAAAGAAGCAGAAAATAATAATAAATATTTTAAATTTAATTTAAAAAATATTTTCGTAGCAAAAATTATATTTTTAGAATAAAAATTCAATATATAAATATTATACAAACTTATCGAATATTAATTCTTCATCATCACTCTTCTTCTGACGTCAGGCTTGCATGAAACTTGATATATTTAATATCTCCAATTACTTGTTTTCTGTAAAATCGAATATAAAATTTTAATATCTCATAAATTTAAATATTGAAGTTTTTAACTTGTTGATATGATGCAGTTTGGGAATAAAATTGCACGGAGGAGCTTAAAAATGGAACTACTCCTTAAAGGTTATGTACGTTCTTATATAGCTTTCTATTCAGAATATATAGATTTTTTTTTAATAGAAAGCTGATATTTCGTGTTATATAATTTAAATTTAAAAGTACAGCGGTTCTGTTAATCATTTTTAATTGAAATACTTCCGACATTCCGCTTAATTGATATAATTAGCAAATTTCCGTTTTAAAGAATTTAAAAATTACCTGTTCCTAGTTAATTAACAGAATATTGTGACACAGGTATGTATTTATTTTAACTTTTTTTTCCTCTCTCTTTCTCTCCTTTAATTTTTTTAAATAAAATATATTTAAAGAATTTACTTGCGAGAAAACATTTTAAGCAGTAATTTCAAAAATTCTACTATTTTTAAATAAATAAAAACAAATAAAAATTTATGTTTGAAGTAGAAATATCTCCGTTCATCGGTTTCTGTAACAATTTACAAAATTGCTATGTTTATGTAAAATAAATTGTTAGATTTTCGACATTTATTTTACTTTATTCACATGTTTTTCCCCCCAATCATGTCCGTCATTGATTTGCTTCACGCATCTCACACACAACATTGGAAATTCTGCTATCTGCAGGACTCGACAAAATTAATTTTTATACAATTTTCTTTCTTTTTTTTAAATATATATACATATGTATATATCAATTTCTCTTTTCTGTTACATAAAGATATGGATTTTCAAATAAAATACTAGTTTTCAGCATTGCTAAAACTTTGTAAATGATGGTAAGAACGGTTTGATTGTTCGACTCGATAATTTACAAGATAACTTTTAAAAATTATTTATGAAATATATTTTATATATTAATAAAGATAATAAAATGTTCAAATTAAAGCCTGCATATTTTTCCTTAAAAAAAGTTAAATTAAAATGGTGTCAAAGTAAAAAGTTTTCGCTCATTTCTAAACGATTATTGTTAATGATCCGTTAGAAAATTTCCTATCTTAAAATGATCGTCGGTAATAACCTTTTGTTAATGAAATTTTAATGATTAACTGAAAATAACTATGTTTAAAATTATTTTCAGTTAATTTAATTAAATTTTTACAAACAGTAATTTTTTTCTCCCCTTGGCGCAGATATCATCCTATTGTGAATTATCCCGTAAACTGTAAAAATAAAAATAATAATTTTCTTTCTAAACGGAGGAATTAAGTGAATATTTAAAGTTTAAAAAATTCAATTATAAAAGATAAATGATTACGGAACATGTAAACTTTAAAAAAGAAATATTCTTATTTCCTCGCAGTCTGTAATTAATAATTCGATTAAAGTGAAGTCGATGTGATCATTCCGCAATGGTAAGCTTAAATAATTTTATATTAAAACACTGTCAGGAAGTAAATGTAATAAAACCTTTAAATCGTCGAAGTAAACAAACCAAAAATAAATATGAAATCAGGCATAACCAGAGCACATAATATAGCAAAAAAAAAGTAATGCTGGTATCAGTTAACCATTAACTTTATCGATTATTCAAAATGAAAATTTTAAAGTTGGTAAACTATTACATCCGTTCAAGAAGAAAATTCGTTTCGTAACCAATAAATTATTCCCCTTTTCAAATTCTATAATATTATCTCCGATATTGGAACGAAATTTTGAAAATTCTCTTACACTTTTATATATTCTGTTCGAATTTTTCAAAATAAAGTAACTTGAAATAAACTAGGTTATTTCGGGCTAATCCCAATTTTTTCCTATGAAGATAATTTGATACTTTGATGCATAAATTTCTGGAAAAAATTAAAAAAAAAAAAAAAACATTTTTTCGATGTAATTTGTGATAATTTTTCCAACAGTTAATGGAATTTTCCTCCCTTGTTAGATTATCATTTCCTTATTTTAAAAATAAAAGAAGCGTGATAAACTAATCGTTCACAGTTATTAACACCCACTTCGTTCCATTTATTTATCATATCTATAAAGAAAAAATTATTAATAAAATTTTGTTTTTGCAAGAGAAACATTTAACATGCGATTTAACGTTCGTGGAGGGAATTTGTTGTAATGGGATACCCCTACTACTTTTGTTTCATTTATGTATACATTTTTTTTTTTCCTCTTACCTCGGAATCTCTGTCGTAAACTTAATTAAGCCGAAAAGCGTAAAAATCCGAATTTGTTATAAAGCAATTTATCATTGGTAAGAAAATAAAGAATTCTTGAGTAAATCCCATTTACCATTAATCATATCTCTCTTGTCATATTTTATCTCATTGTTGAAAGATGATATTGCAATATATCTCTTCAAATTCGCTTTAAAATGTCCGGCGAAAAGACATATGAGATTTATTTACTTTTTAATATCTAATTATGGGATACAATATCATTAATTAGATAATTTTAATTGTAATTAATGAGAATTAGATAGAAGACCACGCTATTGATAATATATTGTACAGAGAAATATGAACTATTATTAATTATAGAGATTAGTGAGGCCCTTTAACAATATGACCATTTATTTTTTGGTGTTAATATATTAAAAAACAGAGCAGAATTAAAAACTTGTATTATATTTTTTAAATAATAAAATCTGACAAAAAGTAAAGATTTTTCCTCCTTAATATACAAGAAATGCAAGAATTTCTGAAGCTCTAGTACCCGAATGGCTCTGTGAACCCATTATAGTAAAGCCTAATTGAAATGCCATTCATTAGGTATAAAAACTCTTATAGGCCTATTTTATATAAGCATTTTAATGACATTGTCAGTAGAGTATATTTTTTCTTCAAAATAAAAACACTTAATTAATTTTTCAGTGGACAATATTTGATAGAAAACTTCACATTTTCAGCTTTAAAACATATTACTTCGTTAACAAATCTGGCTTTCAAATACCGCATACAATATTTCTTAACTAAGATACAATAATAAGGACTTTGCATTCAAGTTTATCATTAACTGTATAAATTTATATATACATATATATATTTTTTTTTATTATTCCTTAACTAGTAGACGTTCTCGTCGAAGAATAAAAGATATTTTGTAGTTGAAAGATATCGAAAAGCCGACTAATGAAGAAAGGAAGAAAAGAGATGATTCCTGAAGAATTCTTAAAAAAAAAAAAAAGAAATCGAAAGACTTGCAATTCAGTTCTTTGAATTTCCTAGATGATTTATTTTATTTTTTCCCCTTTATGGTACAAATTGCATTGGCCAATCAAACGCTAGTATAATAAAGACTCCGGGTCCGAAACTATTTCTAAATATTTGATAATGTTTTTATCGCTAAATAAATCATAAATAATATATTGCAATTTTTTTAAGACGAAATAACTAATAAATAAATAAATCTCTTCTGTAAGAAAAACAGAAATGATAAATTTCGGCATGTCGAAAAAGCGCCTGAATCAGCACGTTTCGTAAAATTTTGGAAAAATATTTATAAAAAAAATTAAATAAAATTAAATTTAGGTTCATTCTACTATAAAATCACGTTTAAAAATAAATTAAGAATAATAAAATCTTTCAAATTCTAAAACAGAAAGTTGTAATTCAGTTCAAGTGAACTGAAACAGTTGAGATTATAAACTGGTTAAAAAAAATAAACAGATAAAGCATAAAGCATGCTTAAAGACTATTCTCCGGTAAAAAATAAAATAAAATAAATGTAACCTTACAAGTTGTAAGCAGTAACGAAATGTAAAATTTAAGCAAAATAAAAAAAATAGTCTTTTACGAGCGATACATCTGCACAATAGACAGAATGCGTGAATATTCAACAAGGCTTCCCTATTTATAAGGCTTCAGTCAATTGCATGGAAAACACGTTGCCTTCGGTCTACAAGTATCGGAAGCAAATATTTTCTAAACGTTTCAAATCCACGTAATCTGTATAGAAAGTGTCGTGTTGCTTGTCAAAATAGTAAAATCAAAAACTGCTCAAGTTTGATTGGTTTAAGAGGAAGTACAATCGCCTAGGAAACTGCATTCTCCAACAAACCGGCTCCCTAGCAACGCATGAGTCGCTAGTAGACTGTTATGAGTGCTCAGTCCCACTACGGGAACACCACGACATGCAATCATGTGGGTTATCTCTATTCCATAGGATAACACATCTACCCTATAAAAATATTAATCATGTATGAAAGAAACCCGAATAAGGTAAGTTGCTTTATTTTTTTATTGACCTTTTAAAAAGAGAATTCCTTAACAATATGTCTTACAATGATGAATATTTATTTTAAGAGACTTGTTGATATTTAAGAGATGCTAGTCAGCTGTTTTGCACTTTGAACATTCGGGGAACCAAAAATAAGCTATTTTTGGATCTTTAGCAAAAATATTCGACTTGTTTTCCAGTTATTATGTATTATGATGTTATTAAAGTGAAGCAATTTATTTGATCGTCTTTTATGGAAGAAACTTGATCGAGTAAAGGATGCAGCTTCCTCCGCTTGATCCGTCTATTAAGGAGATAAATGGGAATAAAAACTGCTTTATCTAAGTGATAGCAAATGGTATTTGTTTTTTTCCTATCCGTACACGCCCAGAAATGATGGATCGTTATGCGATTCTGAGAATTGTCGTGACGTTTCTTTGCCATAAACAGCGACTATGCCTTCTTGCCACCACAAGCGCAGGTGAAAAACTGATTTTAAAATAATATATTATTATTAAAATTTTTCCCTCAATTCTCGTGAATGTATAAGCTAATTTTTCTCTAACTTTAAAGTATTTGAATACCGTAGTAAAAGAATATATTTACTTTCAGAAACGTCTTATTTTAACCTCCTCTCCCTACTCAATTTGATGCATTCCAAAGTGTCTTCCAGTTTCGATTCTCGCAAATGTTTCTCCTCATGAAAATTTTATTAATATCTCTGACAAATAAATTTATATTCAATTTTTTTTAATA